TGCTTTGAATATTATGGGGAAACGTGGAGAAACAGAGAAACATACTGATGGTGTTTTTATTATTATAATTATTTTACCTGAGTCTTGATTTATCCTTTCCATAAGCAACATGTTGTGAGCAGAGTCTATTTGACATAGTGGTTAGAAGTGATAAATGTTTAATCTGTATTCTCTAGAAAACAAGTGAAAGAATCTCATTAGATCATTGAGATCTATTGAATGTTATATATAGCGATAGTAAAATCAGAGAAATTTAGTTAATGATTATTGTTTAAAAAAGAAACTGAATTCTGACTAAAGGAAGTTATTGATATTTCTTTTTACAGATGTAGTATTTAGTTTCCAAATAATAAAATACAAGGGAAGCATTTTTGAAACTTTACTAATCCTTGAATCAAAACTTTTACTAGTTAAAAGGACTGCCCTAGAATAAAAAGAAATTATTGTTGCTAAGAGCTGTTGAATTGGTTTTGACTCATAGCAATCCTGAATAGGGTTTCCAAGGAGCAACTGGTGGGTGTGACCCTCTAACTGTACAGTTAGAAGTTCAGTGCTTATCCTACAGCACCATACTAAGAAAGAAATATAACATAACTATATAATGAATGGAGTCCCTAGGTGGTGCAAACAGTGAACTAAGTTGCTAACTGAAACTTGGAGGTTCTAATCCATTTGGCAGCACCTCAAAAGAAATCTACTTCTAACAACTCAGTCATTGAAATCGCTACAGAACACAAATATACTCTGACAAGTATGGCTTCCTAATGAGTTGGAATTGACTCCATGATAACTAGCTTACTGGTTATATAATAAATAAATTGGTACTTACCTCTTTCAAAAAGCATTCAATTGGTCTTGAGGAAGTACAGCAGGAGCCTACCATAGAGAGATAACTCTTGACGTAATTGACTAAAAGTGGCAAAGGAGCTTGCCCATAATTACTGGAATACTCATATATAAATCTGTTGGCGGGAAAACAGAAGAGTTGTCAGAAACATATTCTACTTTTTAAAAGTATTTTTTCTTGGAGAAAGTTTGAATGTTACTTGTGTGTTATAGTTTTAAGTTCTAAAAATCACTAAGGACTTAGAGTCAAAATACTGAAATCATTTTTAATTAATGTTTTCACTTAAAAAATAAATTCTTCCTTAAATTCCCATGTGAACTGCTTGAGTGGAGTAGTTATTTGTCCATTCATTCACTTAGCCTTTGGCCAAGTGCATGGCACCTAATAGCTCTTTTTGATGTTGATTGAATAACTTAAAATGGGTGTAATTCAAGAATTAACCTTCATTATTACCCACTTAAATTTACTATCTTAGACAATTGTTGTATATAAGTTTATTTTTTGGAAGAGTATTTACTTTTAAAAATCTTTTTATTGTGAATAGAGTGAAGGTTTACAGAAAAGGTCATCAGTTTTACATTCAACAAATCATAGTTTGTTTCATCCCAATGATTGCAATCTCCTTCAGTTAGACCACTTCCTCTCTGTGTTTCCTATTTCCATTCCACCCACCTTCCCATCCCCTATTATATGTGTCCTTAGGTAAGTGCTACTCTTTTGATTTTGAATGATTTATCATTTCATGATGAACATACCTTACTAGTGGTGTTGTCCCCCTTTATACCTATTTGCTGCTTGACTGGAAATTGGGCCATGAGGGTGCATTCCTTTCCAGACCTGAAGGTGGAGGGCCAAAGTCTTGGATTCCTCCAGTCTCTTTCTGATCAGTCAGTAAACTGGGTCTTTTTTTTAAATATAATTTTGAATTTTGTTACATGTTTTCTTTTTACAAGAATAAGGCTATATGAATTTTATTTAAAGCCACTTTGAATGTCATTGCTTTTAATTTTTGTAAACATATTATATTAAATTGGATTTTCCCATTTTTATATTTTTATGATTTCCTAAGGTTAATATAGTCAGTGTATAATCTGGCTAATCAGGCGTGTTAAACATAAGTTCAAAGTTACATACTCACTTATGTAGCATAACATTTATCATATTCACAACTTTTTCTGGCAGTGAATACACTACAGAAGTGAATGGGGAAACAAGGTTGTCATGTTTAATTAGAAATGAAGTTTTAAAAGGAATGCAGTAAAATAAAATTTATTCTTTCATTTAGAGTATGCATAAGGGAATCCTTAGCATAGGGGAATCATAATAGATGTTATCAAATACATGAAAATATGCCATGTGGAGACTTATCTAAACGATTCTGCTTCAGATAATAGAATCAGAACTAGGGAGTAGGAAATTGGGGAACAGATTTTATCTGTCTGAGAAAACTTTTTCTTATAACCAGTGCTGACAGGAAAGTGGTCTAGATTGGGTGATAGCCAAGTTCCTTTTAATTGGAAGAGCTCAAACCAAAATCGCCAAATGGTTTGAGATAGAATAAGGGGCTACATTAGAACCATTTCTGATATTTTGTGACCTAAAATTTTACTTAAAATTAAAGCAGCTTACTGGTCAGCAAATTCTTTTGGATCTTTCCTGAATGCTTCACAGATTTCATCATTTGTTGGCTCTACATAGGTAGGAAATTCTTGTGGTTGATGCTTCAGGGTAGCCATACAGAGCTTCCGTTCCAGGCCCTCTTTGGTACAACACTCTTCAGTTCCTGGGTGCACTGGAAATGGGGAGTCACTTTCACAAGACTTAACAGACAATGCTGAGGTCTAAAATGGGAGAAGAAAAAGTGGGACCAACAAAAACAAGACTGAATACAGCAGTCTCTAATCACAGAAATGTGAGAGGAGTGGGAGAAGAAAAAGTGGGGGGGGGGGATCTCATTCAGTAAGACATTTTGCTCTTGGTGGAGAGTATGACATCAGAAGTTTTTTGCCTATGAAGGACTCAAGCCTGGGCAGAGCTTAATTCTATCTTGTGCCTAAGTTTTAAGTGTTCAGATGTGAATTTTTCTTGAATACATCTAACTGCCAAAGTTAGAAACAGTATATTTAAAAGTCGGTTTGGGGCCACTTCCTAGCCAGCCCTCACAGGAACATTCCTGGACATTGCCCTTTGTCTTCCCCTAGTTGAGAACCTCAGGCTGTAAATTTTCCTATCAGCAAGAATCCCTTCCCTGCTTTCCATAATCCCAGCATGTGCATATGTGATGCATGATTGCTCCTGTCATTGTGGTTGTGGGAAGAGATTATTTTATTCTCTGTGACCTATAAAAGGTCAGCACATGGAGATAGAACTCTGGAACTCAGCATGGTGTCTTTGATTTCCTTTACCTGGGTGATCCATGTCTGTCTTTGTCTGCAAAATATTTGTATCTTTGAAAATGGGGTCTGTTTTCTCCCCAATAAAATTCTGTACTTAAGAATTGTTTTATAAGTGAGCAATAGTCCATGCCAAAATCTCCATGGAATGATTTGTTAACATGACAAGTTGCATGAACACTTGTATAGTTACAGGCAAGTAGAAGGAGACTTAAAAAAAAAAAAATTCATGGACAAATTTTGTTTTCTTTCAATTTTATTTTTTCCAAACTTTTTAAAGCCCTTTCCTATAAGGGTTTATTTATGTTAATAGAAGAACAACCCTGCTTTAAAATAGAACAAAAATAGAACTTTTATCAATAAATGGACTGTTTTTGTCTGCTTGCAACCTTTAGTGCTTTCACCTAGCAGTTCTCAGTGAGGCTATTTTCATCTATGAGAATAAGAAAGGTCATTTAAAAAAGCTCTCCAGGGGACTCCTTTTATTTGCTTTCCAGGGCAAATACCTTATTAGTAATGATGGCTTACTCTGTTGATAACACCCATCTGCTCCACCCTTTATTAAATCAGCAGACTTTAGATCTTGATTAGTTTCCTTCATTGGTTGCCTTCTACTACCTACTGGGTATTGAGTCTAGTTTTGCAACAATCAAATCCACTATCATCAAGTCATTCTGACTTACGTAGTGACCCTACAGAACAGAGTAGAAATGGTCCTTAGAGTTTCTGAGATTGTCAGTCTTTAAGGTAGCACAAAAATCTTTCCCCTGTGGAGCTGCAGTTGGGTTTGAACTGCTGACTTTGTAGTTATCAGATGAAGGATGAACCTGCAATGTTGTTATTGTGGATAGGTGTCTTCATGTCTATTCTACCTCATAGCTGCCCTAGGCACTACAGAAAAAACACTGCCCATCCTGCAACATCCTTAAAATAGTTACATTTGAGCCCCTTGTAACTACCACTGTGTCAATTAATCCCCTTGGGAAGGTCTTCCTATTTTTTTCTGACCCTCCACTTAACCAAACATGATGTCTTCCTCCACACACTGGTCCCTCCTAATAACATGTTCAAAGTATTAGAGAATAAGTCTCAACCTCCTGGCTTCTAAAAAGCATTCTAGCTGTACTTCTTCCAACACAGATTTGTTTCTTTCTCTGGCAGTCCATGGTACTTTCAATATTCTTCTTCAACACCATAACTCAAATGCATCAATTCATCTAAGGTCTTCCTTATTCATTGCCAAATTTTCACATACATATGAGGTAATTGAAAATACCATGGCTTGGTTCAAGCATAACTTAATCCTCAAACCAATATCTGTGCTCTCAAACTTTAAGTAGATCTTTTGAAGCTGATTTGTCTAATGCAATGTATCATTTGATTTACTGACTGCTGCTTCCATGAGTGTTGATTGTGGATCCAAGCAAAATGAATTTTTTGACCACTTCAATCTTTTTCTCCATTTATCATGATGTTACTCATAGTTTGTCATGCTCCATACAGTCAAAAAATATTTGAACAGTCAATGAAGTACAAATAGACACTTTTCTGATATTCTCTGCTTTCAGCAAAGATCCATCTGACATCAGCAGTGATAGCTCTAGTTCTACACCCTCTTCTGAATCCAGCTTGAGTTTCTGACAGGTCCCTGTCAGTATACTGTTGCAGCCATTTTTGAATAATCTTCAGCAAAATTTTACTTTTATGCAATATTAATGATACTGATTGATGATTTCTGCATCCTATTGGGTCATATTTCTTTGGAATGGACATAAATATGGATCTTTTCCAATTAGTTAGTCAGGTAGCTGTCTCCCAAATTTCTTGGCCTAGATGAGTGAGCACCTCCAATCAGTTTGTTGAAAGATTCCAATTTGTATTCTATCAATCCTTGGATCCTTTTTTTGGCTAATACTTTAAGTGCTCCTTGGAATTCTCCCTTTACTACTATTGATCCTTGATCCTATGCTACCTCTTAAAATGACTGAACATTGACCATTTCTTTGTGGCATTGTGACTCTGTATTTCTTCTATCTTATTTTGATACTTTCTGCATCATTTAATGCTTGCCCATAGAAGCCTTCAATATTGCAAGTCAAGACTTGAATGTTATTTTGTTTTAGTTGCTTTTTTTTTTTTTTCAGTTCTTCCAGCTTAAGAAATGCTGACTGTGTTCTTCTGTTTTGTTTTTCTAATCCAGGTCTTTGTACATTAAATTATAACTTTGACTTTGTCTTCTTGAGCCACCATTTGAAACTTTCTATCCAGCTCTGGTAGCGTAGTGATTGCAAATTGGTCTGCGAACCTCAAGGTCAGCAGTTCAAAACTACCAGCTGTTCCGTGGAAGAAAGATGAAGCTTTCTGCTCCCGTAGAGATTTACAGCCTTGGAAACCCTGTATAGGGTCACTATGAGTCGGAACCGACTCCAAGGCACATAACCAACAACCAACATCCAGTTCGTTTACTTCCTCACTTCTTCCATTTACTTTAGCATCTCTATGCTAGAGAGCAAGTTTTATAATTTCTTCTGAAATCCATCTTGGTCTTTAATTTCTTTCTTGTTTTCTTAATGACCTTTGCTTTCTTCCTGTATGATGCTCTTGATGTGATCCCACATTCTTCTGGTCTTCAGTCGTTAATGTCTAATGCATCAAATCTATTCTTGAAATGGTTTCTAAATTCAGGTGGGATATATTCAATGTCATATTTTTGCTCTTGTGAGCTTGTTTTCATTTTTTCCTGCTTCTATCTAATCTTGCATATAAGCAAGTGATGGTTTGTTCCACAGTCTGTCCTTGGCCTTGTTTTGGCTGATAACATGGAACTTTCCCACTGTTTCTTTCTACAGATGCAGTCAATTTTATTCCTGTTAAGTTTTTTTTTCTGGTGAAGTCCTTATATGTTTATATAAGGAATTATATATATATATATGGAGTCCTGGTGCAAAGTTGTTTGAACTGCAAGCTCGGCATTTCAAGCTCACCAGCTGCTCCTCAAAAACCCTATACAGGGTTGCTATGGGTAGGACCCGACTTCATGGCACTTCACAACAACAACAATATATATATTTATGTTTAAATAAGATATTTGCAGTAAATAAGTTGTTGGTCTTGCAAAATTCTATCATGTGATATACAGCATCATTTCTCTCCCCAAGGCCATATTTTCCAACTAATGATCCTTAATCTTTCTTTCCATCCTTAACATTCCTATTGTAAGTAATCATCAATGCATCTTGATTGCATGTTTGATCAGTTTCAGACAGAATAATTTGGTAGAATTATTCAATATAATCATCACTGATGTTAGCGGTTGGTGTGTAAATTTGAATAATATTAGTATTAACTGGTCTTCCTTGTAGGTGTATGGATATTATCTTACCAGAGACAGCATAGTACTTCAAGGTAAATCTTGAAATGTTAATTTTAACAATGAATGTGACATCATTCCTCTTGAATTTGTCCTTCCCGCATAGTAACCCCTATGACTATCTAATTCAAAATGGCCAACACCAGTCCATTTCAGCTCACTAATGCCTAGCATATTGAACTTTATGTACTCGATTTCATTTTTAAAAACTTCCAATTTTCCTGGATTCTTGATTTTTATATTCCACTTTTCATTTTTTAATGAATGTTTGTAGCTGTTTCGTTTCATATTGATTTGTGCCCCATCAGCAAATGAAGGTCTGAAAGCTTACTCCATTCATGTCATTTTGGTCAAGTCTACTTTGAGGAGTCAAGGAGCTCTGGTAGCATAGTGGTTATGCATCGGTCTGCTAATCTCATGGTCAGCAGTTCGAAACTACCAGCTGTTCCAAGGGAGAAAGATGAGGCTTTCTACTCCCATAAAGATTTACAGCCTTGGAAACCCTGTACAGGGTCGCTATGAGTCGGAACCAACTCCATGGTACATAACAACAACAACAACAACTTTGAGGAGGCAGCTCTTCCCCAGTTGATTTTTAAGTGCTTTCCAACCTGAGGGTCTCATCGTCTGGCACTTCATCCTACAGTTTTCTACTGCTATTTAAAAGGTTTTTAGTGGTTAACCATTCAGAAGTAGTCCTCCTCTCCTATTTTCCAGTTATCTTAGTCTGAAAGCTCTGGTGAAGTCTGTCCAGCATGAATGGTCCTGTTGGTATTTAAAATATCTGTGGTATATCTTCTAGCATTACAGCAACATGCCAATAACAGGAGAGTGATGATAACCTATAATTGTACCAAAATTTATATAAAAATAAGTAATACATGGGCTGTATAACCACCAAATTCTGACTCAGTAGGTAAAAAATGGTGTATGATAATTAGATTTTCCAAAGCAACAAAGTTTATTCTGATGAAAAACTAAGTATAGTTTAAATTACAGTCTTAACACTGACATATATATATGGGAAGAGTAAACCCAAGCTTAGAACACCAACAAAGTGGCATTTTGAAAAGAAAAACAAAAGAGAGAGAGAGAAATTAGTGTTCTTATTGGAAAAAAATTGATACTTAAAAATATTTAAGAAATAAATAGATAAAATACTAATGGGAAAATTACAACATTGTCAAATATCCCAACATATGTTTTACTAGTTAGTGGTCTTTGTAGGACAAAAACTAAATAGATTCCATTTCATGGATGAAAAAAACATTATTAATTGATTAATTCATTGTATAAATGCCAAATAACAACTTGTCAGTGTCTACCACACTTGCCTTCCATTACATTCTCAATATTTAGGAATTAAATCCTCTCTCTCTCTTTTTATCCATATCTCTGTTCCCAGTGAATTTTTTTTAACCTTCCATTTCTTTCCCTAGCAATACTTTTTCTTCAATTTAAAAA